TTTACGATTTCTCACTAGTTCAACTGGCCTAGAATTAAACTGAAGAGTTTTGTTGAGAGCTACATGTTTATTGATTGATCTGAATAATATTGCTTTAGTTTTTGTTTCACTAATATTAAGCCCATTTGAATTTAACCACATTGCAAATTTGGAGAGCATGACATTTCCTTTGATTATTGAGTTATCCGCATCCGCGTCAGAGAGTAACAGACTGGTGTCGTCCGCATACATTATGAAATTAGTGTCCTCGTCAGTATTCATAATATCATTTATATAAATATTATACAGTAAGAGCCCCAATATGCTACCTTGTGGGACACCATATCTGATCGGCAGTAAAGATGATACATGTCCATCAATGTACACACACTGCATACAATCTTCTTAATATGAGCACAAAAGTGAAAGTGAGGGACCACGAATGCCGTACTGGTATAATTTGTCAACAAGTATTTTGTTATTAATACAATCAAAGACTTTTTCTAAAATCTATAAATATGCCTAACGCCCAAAGTTTGTTTTCGACGTTATGTAAAATAATTTCCTTTTGTATGAGGAGTGCGGATTCCGTCGACTTTCCCTTTTTAAACTGAACTGTGACTCAGAAGTACTTGAGTGTTTGGCAAAAAAAAAAAAACCCTATCTAAACGACACAAAATAATATTTTCGAGCCCGTTAGAAAATATAGGTAGGACCGATATAGGTCTATAATTAGACAAATTATTCTTTTCATCACCCTTATACAGCACTGACACTTTTTGCACGTTTCATTTTTTTAGGGAAATCTCCGCATGATAAGCACAAATTGAGGATGTGTACAAGATATGGCGCAATAATATCAAGAATATATTTATTGGATTTAATTTGGAGGTCATCAGTATCACATGTTTTACTATTTTTTAGGCCCATAAATGTTTTAAACACTTCATCATAACTAGTAGGATCAAGAGAGATAGATTCATTGATTCCTCGTGAAATGCCGTCCACAGCTGCCTCACAGTATGAGCTGGACGCCAGATTTGCGAAATGGGAATTAAAACATTTAGCCAGCGCGACCTCGGACGCTAATCTGCGATCTATGCTAAGTCTCCTATTGAACTGTGCGATCAACCGCGCTGTAAGATTTCATTTATTGATTTCCAAACGACATCTGGACGTTTCCTTGAAGCCTCACAAAAAAATTTATTATAATATTCACGCTTTGCCCTCCTTAGATCTGCTGTTAAGGTATTGCGATATTTTTTGAAGATAACTAATTTATTTAGGTCTTTCGTAGTGATATAATCTCTGTACAACAAAGTTTTGTGCCTTATGATTTTAATGTGAGCAGACCTGATCCAAGGCTTACGAATTTTTTTGATGAGGTAATTGTCTTATATGGAAAAACATTTCTTATAAACAGTTTTTAATCTATCAAGAAAATTTTCATAAGCATCGTTGATGTTTATCTGTGACAGTATCGGCGTCCAATCTATAGACGAAATTTAATTTCTAAAATACAAGAGGTTTTGATCTGATATATACTGGTAAGAAAAAGGCTGTCTTTTGACCTTAGTTATAAGATCTGTACAATGAAAGGAAACCAAAGTCGAAATATGATCACTAACGTCACAGCAAATAGTTCCCGCGGCAATAATCTTGTTTATATTTGTAATAAAGAGGTCGATGACACTTGATGACCGTTCAGTGACTCTTGAGAATGATATAATTACGTTCTGAAAGCCATAGAAAGCGAGGGTATTGTTCAATTGCGAAGATAGCCCGGTACTGTTTTGCATATTCACGTTAAAATCTCCCCCCATAATAACAGAAAAATTATTTGCGGACGAAAATTCCAAATAGTCGTCCAAAAAAGACAGAAAATTGCAGAAATTTGCTGATGGTGGGCGATAGACAACAAAAAAAAAAGATTTGATTTTTGCATCGTACACTAAAAATTTTATAATCATCAGTAATCTCGCTAAATGAAAGTAGCCGTTCACACTGAAGGGCTTTAGTAACCATTATCAACCCCCCCCCCCCCCCCCCCCCCCAATCGCTTCGTTCACTTCTGTTCAGAAAAAAGTTATTATAGCCTCGTAAAACAAACATATCCTGTTCGTTTCGACACCAAGTTTCGGAAAACATTATATGTCGAACTTAACTTCACACATTTCAAGAAGAGTGATAATGTCGTCTATCTTGTTTTTTATTGAACGAACATTTAGATGAAACACAGAAATATCTTTCGTATCAAGACAAGTTTTGATATTTGAAGGCAAAATTAATTCGTGGTAGTGCATCAGAAAAAAAAAGAAAAACGCAGGGTACCGGCTTTATAATAGGCTAACAAATCTGGTCAAGATCCTCTTCATGTGTAATTGAGACAATTGGAGTGCCAACCGATTTTTGTGCCATTATCTTGCAGTTTTGAATCCAAACGAAGCGCCATTGGCACTCTCGCTTTTTTGCGTGGGTCATTCCAAGCAGTCGTTTCAATGTAGGGCATGAGTGCTTATTTACAAAGATTGTTGTAGAATCATCGAAACGTAGTTCAGAAGCAGATAACCGCTTTTCTTTTGTTGCTTTAAAAAAAAAAAAAAACTGAATCACGCTTGTTCCTCTGTGCAAACTGTACGATAAGGTTACTGATTGCTCCGTCCCTCGTTGGCACACGGTGGTATACCTCAACGTCCGAGTCGGTAATCTGCTCACCCACCAGGTTGCCTATCTTACTAATTATATGCATGACGTTTTTGCGTCGTTTTCGGAATGCCCTTTATTTCCAAGTTACGGTTTCGGGAGTACTGTTCACACTGGGTGAGCCTCATTTCAACATCTTGGGCACTCTTTTTCATGATATCATATTTTTACTTAAAGCTGCTTGTTTATTATTCCAAGGCTGAATTTTCTTTTAAGACTGTCTTTAATTGTGCCTCAATGTCCTCAAACTCTTTTTTATGAACTAAATATCCCCGTTTATGCTCTTAAGCTCCGAATGAATTTCGCGAAGATCGGACCTAAACTCGCGTTCAAGCCAGTCTCGGAGCACCTTGAGTTTTTTTTTAGATCATCCTCAACTTCGGAAAACATTTTAGCGATCTATTTAGACATGACCAAGAAAAGCTCAGACACAATTTACAGTTTGAAACACACTAAACAAAAAACAAGCAGTTTTTCGCGGTAGTGACGGTGCAAAAAAAAGAAAAAAAAGAGGGTAAGGTCGTAAGCAACAAGAACCAACCTGGAACGGTAGCGAAGATTTCTTAGGACGATGTACAACCAGCCGTCACCACTGCCAAGTGGCGCGAACAGAGTGCTGAACCAGGTCTTTTGTAGCTAGATGTCGCTAGGCCAAGTAGACATCTATGACCAATAGCAGCCGGCACGTGCCGGTTTTGATGACGATGACGCGTTGCAGTTTTTACCGTGCAGTTTTCGCCTGTCGTCGACCGTGATCCGTCGGAAGCTTGAAATCGGGGTTTCCAGCGGCGCTCGGTATCAGCCTCAGTCAACCTGGAACCGTAGCGAAGATTTCTTACGACGATGTAGACCAGCCGTCACCACTACCAAGTGCCTTTTTGTCATTTGACATGTCATTTTTATTCCTAGTATCAATACTGATTTTTAGTCGAGAGAAACACGAAGTATACAAATCTTAAACAATTTTGAAGTCTGCAAAAAAATAGTTTGAATTATATGCCACGCTCCCTGAGACAGTCACTAGAAGGCACTGTTGAATAATATTTATTATCGTACAAATTCTTAGTCACAACGACTAAAAATTTGACCCTTCTTACAAAAGACTCTTGATAAAACAATGAAAATATTTACTCGATAGTAGCCAACCTTGAGCAAAGGGAAGTGCTTCGTAAAACCTGTTGTGTAGAAAAATGAATAGTGCTGCACTTGAGAACAAAGTTCGGAATTCAAATGCTAAAATATACGCTCCCCTACCTTTTAAATCGTTAGGCAAACTGAACATATATATCAGTGCAACTAGGAAAATATACACACGCTATTTATCTAGGGATCTGCAATTGTTGAAAATACTCGTATGCAAACCGAATGTCTGTTACTGTTACTGTACGTTAATTTATTTTCTCACAATATATGTTCGTAATTCTGTAAAACTGTGTGTTGACTTATTTTGTATGATCTGCTGTTGCCGTTATTGTTGGGGAGACAGACGCTTTTTGAAGCAACTAGTAAGTTTCTTTTTCTCTACTTCCCCTCTGCATCTCAGAGAAAAATAATAAAATGGAATTTGAATTTGTAAGGTGTTGGGTTATCTCTTTCTGATGTTGTGAAGTATCAGGTACAGCTTTTATATCGCTCGTATTTCACAAAATTAGAATTACTTACGCGTCGGAGACCCAACCTCGTACTGCACTTCTAAGACGATATTCCAAAGGACAGCCATTTTCATAGTAACTAGCTCGTCCCCCTATAGGCCTCTAAAGTTGCTAATACAGTCAGTGATCAGGCCATTTCAGAGGCGAGATTATGGCCAACGCCATTTTTAAGCCTTGAACACAATGATCATACATCATACAAAAGAGAGCTCTGCATACAGATTCGAAAGCGAGTCACCGCGAGATCCGTGCTTCGAATGCCGCATCGCAATGAGTTCAATGAGAAAACTTGACACGCGGAATTCGAACACGGATATTAAGGTGACCTGCGTTTGCAGGCTGTCGTTTGTATGATGTATGGATGAGCAGTGTGCCCCCGGCTTTGGTGTCCACATGTATGGGGAGTGCTTTGCTCGCTTTGCGAAGCGAAGGACATGCCCGCACTGGGATGTGAAGATCGCACGATGAGCTGTAATTTTGTAAAACTTGCACTAATGTATATTATCTATGTTCATTCTAAACCAAATTAAAAAAAACAAAAAATATTCTGGACTAGCCCGACCAGGGCGGGTGCAGCGGCGGGGGAGGAAGCTTAACCCAGGACGATTCTGACATCCAAGGATTCGGCGCAATGTGCGCAGATTGCACTCGTTCATAGAACAGGCGTGTACTCATAATGTGCAAGAGGTCACACAAATTTATTCCGTGTCTGGCTACAGGCGTTCAAGATGTCGCACCAGAGGGTCTCGGGTACACACCGCTATGCGGACCTAGTGGCATCTGGATGGTTGTGGGCACACATCGAGATAGCCCCACGAAATGGCCGTCCTGTCCTTCAGAAACTCCCCAGAGTAAAGGAATTCTACAGTCGCTGACAACTTAAGAAATTCAGGGCGTTCTGAGTCTCGAGTTTCTTATTATCGCTCCGCAACCAGTAGGGTTGCGGCATTAACCAACAAGGATGCCAAGCGTAAATTTGATATTCCACGCCCTTCGCTTCTTAAGTTGTTAGTGATTATATTCACATCTAGAAGTTACCTGGGAGGGCTAAAGGAGCAAAGGAAAGATACTATAGCATAGTCACGACAAACTCTAACCAATAAAAATCGAAATGTTTACGGGCCGAATTAAAGATAAAAAAAAGAAGAAAACAGCAACAAACGATAAAATTTTATTAAGCCTTCCCTCTGGTCAACATTTCCCACTTGCAAAGATCTTAAGACGGCACAGCATACCTTTCAACATATTTTTTCATGTTCTCGAAAAGGCAATGGAGGCGATACTAGCTCTTGAAAATCGCATTAAGAATTCGAATGAAACAATTTTATTTTTAAAAAATACTCACTTTTCTTAAAGAAATTCGGGCTTTCTTATGTTTCCCTTTACACCCCTCCCTCCTTTCCCCAGATGGCACGAATGGGGTAACAAGGATAACAACAACAATGCGGAGCGCAAGTTCGTCTGCTTCAATTGCAGGGGCTGTGGTGAGGTCAGAAGGCTGAGCTCTGATTGGTTGTGAATGAAGGATAGTGGGTAGACCTCAAGGCATCTTGCTTTGAGGGCTATCCACTATTCTTCGATCAGAGCCAATCAGAGCTCGGCGTCTTTCTGACGTCACCGCAGCTCTTGCGCAAGAAGCAGGCGACTCGATCTCCGCATTAACGCAAATGCGGACTCACTAGAAGAGAAATGGTATGAGAGTGACGAAAGTTTCTAAACGCTAGAGATACGCGTATCCGTGGAACGGGCTACCCTGCGCGTGCGTCACTTTGTGCCCGTAAACGAAAGAGTGAGCGACGGGAACCTGCGCCGCCGAGTACGCGAACACGGGCAGCGAATAAGCCACGGGGCTTTTGTACACGTGAGAATGGTACGCCGTGGCGTATTGCACGGGCACTGCCGACACAACAACCCGAGTTGCATGCGAGGGCTCTTTCAACGCCACCGGAGTTGCAACGGCGACCGGTGTTGAAACCTTCACGGTGGTTGCGACGGGTTTCGGTGGGGGACCGGCCACCGGAGCAACAACCGCCGTAGCAACTGGAGCAGCGAGTGGTGCAGCAACTGCTGCAACGGGACCCTTGACGACAACGGGAGTCGCCGGCCTCGTGATAGAGGCGGCGGCGGGGCTTGAAACCTGCGTTCCGGGCTCGTTGGTTGCCACGGATACCCTGAAACCGTGTTCGTCGGCGACGTAGTGGACGACGCGGACGCGGCCGTCGGCGTCCGTCAGGCCGTAGGAGCCCGTCTTTACGCCCAGGGCGTTGCCCGTCTCGCGTCGGAAGGAGCCGCCCGAAGTGTGAGACTCGTCGTAGCCGAAGTTGTAGTTGCCCACGTGCTGGGAAGGCAGGAAAAAAAAGCGGTAAGACACTTGGACGAGTGAGATCTCATGGGAATAAATATAAGTGGGCTCGTGTGTCACCGAGTGCTTTTCCGCAATAGTTTCTCGGTTCTTTGGGTCTCTTTTTTTTTTCGCGAGCACTCCCGACGATATGCGGAAGCTCTAGGATATGCTAAACGCTGTCGCATAGTTTAGTGTGAGCTTTGCACTTTGCGTAAGGTTTTACGGTCTTGATAAGTAGGCTGATGAATTCGTTTTTTTTTTTTCACAAGCAAGCCGGAGAAAGGTGTACAGTTCGTTGATGTTTTTATTATTTATATTTTCCTTAAATGGTAAAGCTGGTTGGAGACACCCATTCGCTCATTGCCAATCAGGTAGAAGCAATACATCCACAATCGATGGTTCAATGATATTCGCTTCAGCCTTACCTGTTTGCGCCTGTCTCATTATTTTTCTAGCTAGAAGATGAGCTTATAAATTGCAGAAGTTGCTTATTTCACAATGACTACCATTTCCAAACACCGAATAGGCACGCCGCATTTTCCAAAGGGGTGCATGCTAGGCAACTAGCTCGGGCAATTACTTTCCCGCAGGACACAGGAGGACCATTCACGCTCTTTTATGGTATAATTTCAGTGCCTGCTGAAGCGCAGGGCAGCACTTACTGCAAGAAAGGCAAGGTTTCTTTCTTGTTACGATACTGAATTTCAGTGCATACTTCATTTACGAGCCCTAACGTTTCCTGTGTAATCTTATTTTCCGCTTTCCTTCCTCAAATGTCAATTATTGTCTTCCGCATTCTCTGCAAGCTTACTTACTCTTACTTCTTGTTCGACAAAAAGTTCGTATAATGTACGAGCAAATACGGCAGGCACTTAAACAGGAGTATCCCGCTCTCTCCCTCCCTCGTTCCCAACTCGTAAAAAAAAAAAAAAACGAACACGGCGTTTTTGTTGCGCGTCAAGGCTACGGAAGAAGAACCACGAGTATATGATGTAACACTTGTAAATGGTATACACATTTCTTTGCCGCCGTGTGTGTAATCCAGTGCGATGTTTCAGTCAACGCGGTTCTTTACCAAGTGAAATGAACGCTTTTTTTCTCTTGACCCAGTGGGTATAGCAGGCTTTACGAATAAGTGCGTGTGTCGGGATCAGTCTGCAGTTGCGTCAAGCGCCCGCGTCACCACACCAAGAGCATAACTAACAGGTTCTCGGCACATGGACAAGAAGGCGAAGAGGTCTCACGTCCTCGTTCCGGTATTGGCTGCTGGTTCCTGCCTCGAGGACGGCGGGTGCCGCGACTGCGACGGCGGCGGGGGCAGCGTGGAGAAGTCCCGCGTTGACATAGGCCAGCAGGCAGCAAACGATTATCAGGCACTGGGCAGCAGGAGCAATCAAAACATTTTCACGTAACAAAAAAAGAAATAAAATGTCAAACCTTTTTTTTAAGATTTTAAGATTTGCATTTTGACGAAGGTTTTTTTCTTGTCTGCTTGCGTCTGAAGAACCACGATCGGATGGGGCCACACCCAATTAGTTTGTATCACTTTGAAGCAAATAAAATGAGAGAGCATCACCTAAGAATAATTGGCAACCAATCTCTAAGAAAATGATCCCACAATTTATAAAATATTCGGAGAAGCGCAAAACGCCTATAATAATAAATAGGACCGTGAAATATATTGTATCATCTATCGTGCAACAGTTGTTTGACCGAGGTTTTTAAAATGAGCGTTTTTATCATTTCACGGCGTGTGCGAACCTTATCGTTGATTTCTACTTCAATATTTGTCCCACGACTAATATTTACGGACGTTTATTTGTGGTCTGCGAGCAAATTATTCCGTTCGTTTACTTTGCCCTTTCGCTTTGGATTTTGTCGGATTGTTTTCGTTACTATCGTGTAATTATCTTGATTTCTTGAACTTGGGGAGGAGGATGCTCTGTCAGATACCTCGTCTTTGTCCCGTAGTAAACTCACGAAACAAATAAATAAAAAAAATGAGCAGTCCCGTGCTAATTCACAGCACAAGCAGAGCGATAACTGCGATATGTGCACGATGAAGTCGTTTGGCATCGGCATGGCTTTCACGCACCGTGGGGTGCGAGAACTAAAAAAGCGTTCGGAACAAAACCGACATCTTACCATTTTGTCCCGAATCCTCTGCTGTTTGCTTGTTCTGGAGTGCGTCAGAGCGCGTCTTTCGGCAGGAGTTCTTAACATTGACAGTGCAACAACGGCCTTTTGTTCTCGGGTGTTTGTTTGGTTTGTTTTTATCGAGAGAAGCACATGCAGTGGACATCGGGTACTATAAAAAAAAAAAAAAACCTTAAGTATAAACCGGGTTGTTAATGCTGTGCCGTAGCTCGGTGGCAGGTCTTCCAATTCGCACGCAGAGGACCTGGATTCAATTCCCAAGCATGGCGGGCGATCGTTTTCAAGGATTTGGCAACATCGACGACGGACACCCTACGGCCTACTACGCCAATCACAACATCAACAACGACAACAATAACTACAGCTAAACATCAACAACGACATCGTCAACAACTACTGCAATTACAACATCAACAGCTACAACCTCGGCAGCTACAACATCAACAGCTAGGAACATCAACACGACATCGTCAACAACTACAAAAGCTACAACATCAACAGCTACAACCTCGACAGCTACAACATCAACAGCTACGAACATCAGCAACTATAACATCAACAGCTACATCAACAACGACATCGTCAACAACTACAACAGCTACAACATCAACAACGGGTGTCATTTCCAGTGGTGGGACGAGCCGATAACTGCTACCGCTGTAAAAAAAAACATCAGCAAAAACAAAAGCTACGTTGAGCGTGCCTATTTCAGCCAATCCAGGCACATGGAACTCGCCGAATATCGTGCTCCCGTGCTCGTGTAGGGCAAAAAAAAACCAAAAAAAAAACCGCATCTCCTCGTGGTGAATGATGTTGATTGGGGCGAAACTCTGGTGGTGCTTGTCTGCGTAGACCTTGAGCCGCAGCATGCCGAGCCTTTCGTTCGTTCTCATCCATGTCAGAAAGAGAGTGTGTGGTACGGAACGTGGTTATATACGCATTTGAGCATTTGACCGCAGCGTGACATGGATGAAACCGAACGAAAGGCTCGGCATGCTGCGGCTCAGCGTCTACGCAGACCAGCACCACCAGAGCTTCGCCCCAATCAACCTCATTCACCACGTGGAGGTGCGGTTTTTGCCCTAGTAGAAACTTCCAACAAGCGTTTACTACATTTACAGACAACTCTCTTGGCAATCAGAAAGTGAAAAGCGCGCATGTGCAGCCTCGATTGACCCGCGATATAGTCGCAACTGTCGCGAGCATTGATCGCTACATTGCCTTAATTTATAAAACAAAATTGTTGTGCATACAGGGAAATTGAGACGACGTTAAAAAGGCCTTATGTTTTTTTTTTTTCAAGTACCGGCATGACTTTATTGATTGCACGATCTCACGTCAACTTATTCAATTCATGTAGCTTGAATGCCAGTAAGGACCGCCCCCTACTTCTTTTGGTTGCTGGCAATCATTTGGCTAATTGAATGACACGTTTGCAACCTTTGGATGAGTTTACGAGTGTTTGCAGCGTTGACATGTTTTGTTCAGGCCTTACTAAGATTGTACCGCATTTCACTCCCTAGCAGCCAAAGCTCTGCTCATGAGATCGCATGAACAGGTAGCAACGTTCGGAAACGCGGATAACTATACCATTTTCTTGAAACACCCGAAACTGGGTGGATAACTTAGAAGAACCAAAATGTGGAAGGGACAGGAGCAGTCTTATCGATAATTATATTAGAGAGTTTTAGTAGATCGTTCCCATGACTCCGATAACGATATCCCGATACTCCGCCACCGCCTCCCTTGCGCATGCATAGTATCGTTATCGGGGCTATCGGAGGTATCGGAACGATCTACTAAAACTCTCTATTATGATGTGTTCTGCTCGGAAGAACTTCATATTGAAATTACGATTGAGAATAGCAAAACGCAATTTGAACTGACTTTGTTTTCTTAACAGCAAGGAAAAATACAAAAATAATAACAACTCAGCAAGCTAAGATAAAAAAAGTCTTACCTTCATCTTTGGTCAATGTCGGGGTATTGCACGCACACTGTGTAACATACGTGGTTTACGTACGCGGGGCGGTTTCTCACTTCCGCATTTCGCTTATATACGGGTGCCTCTTTTCTCTGCGGCCTCACCCTTTAAACCGGCACTCCTGATTGGTCGGAGCGCGGTCACGTGCTTGGAGCACTTCTATAAGTTATGGAATAATCTGCTTTTCATACTCTCCCCAGTTGACGCGCTTTGATCTTTATTTTACTACGGCACTTTTGCGCTCGTCTAAGTTAACGAGAGGCAAAACGCCAGCCCGGTATGGATAGGGGTGTGATCTGCCCACGGGTTCTCTTTTACTTTTCAAAGAAACCGCACCCGTTCTGTCTGTATTTTGCTTATTTTCGCTGTTAACTGGGAAAGGTAGAGATAGAAAAGTAAATGTTTCGTGCAGACCAAGCTAAATGATGGATCATCTTACTGTGCTCATGCATCCGTGTCATAACTTTTTTTTTTGTCTATCGGTGCTCGATGACGCGTATTGATTCTACGGCACTTTTATTTTAAGCTCGATCATATTTTCCTTTTCTGAGCGCAGTCGGCGTCTTTTGAAATGTCCTCTTTTGGTTTAGGATTTGAAAGATACCGTGTTGACGGTTTCACTTTGAGCTGGGAGGCCTTGAATTACAAAAGCTTTGGAGTATATAGATATTAAGGACGTTACCTTGAGATGTGCATTTTAGCCTGCAGAGACTGGACGTGGGTGTGCGACATTGCGGACTCCATTGGCTATAACTGGGTCTATGGGAAAACCCATATGACCTTCTGCTCTCTTTCGCTAAGATAAAAGTGCATTTTATTTTGGTCGCATTTTGGCTTTTTGAAACTTTACACATTTGGCAGCGATGTACGAAACAACAACAATAGTGTCATTATTTCCATATTTAGCTGCAGTTTCGTAAACAGCTCTTAGGCGGACCCGGATATATTAGGGTATCTTGACTTGAAGAGTCGTTTACCTTTACAAACGTTACAATGTTTGATAAGAAACAGCATTTGCACGTCTTTTAAGACCATTTGATGTCGTACAACGCAAAAAAATGTGTAATTGCATAATATGCTTCTTAGCCAAGATTTTTTTAAAAAAAGTATGATCTAAAATATTTTAGGCGGCCACAAAAGGAGCTTATTTCTCTATAGCTATAGTAAATATTTTTTTCCAGCTTAGACTTAAATTCGCAAAGTCGCACGTTCATAACTGCATAACTGGCAGTTGTTTGAATTAAAAATGCCGTTTTTTTTAATATGAACGTGTTGAATAATTTATTGAGAACCGGCGGCCTTAAGCGCGTGTCCGGTCGAGACGATCTAGACCTCTCAAACCCTATTCGTCTTCTTTCCTTCCTTCTTTGAACGTCATCACATTACGACGTTGCCAACTCGGTGATTGGGCTCCGAGCGTCTACAAAAAGCTGATTGGACACGAGTTTCCACCGAACTCTGACTCAGTACTCGTGCCCAATCACGTTCAGTTGTATGTAATGGCATAGAAAATTGAGGGCACAGACCATGCTCTAGTCCCTGACAGCTTAAAGGGATACTGAACCAAGGAATTTAGTGTCCATAATAAGTGGCGCACGTTCTTTCCACGAGCCAGCAGCCGCCGGTGTGCGCGAGCACACGCAACAAAAATGACGTCACAGACCTCCATTCGCGGTTGAGATGACAGTGAAATGTATGGGCTTCGGACCAAAGGAGAATAAAGACAGGCTTTTCATCTCTACAAGTGAAAGCTAAGTACTTGTTAGACCAATTCATCGCTTACCTTTTACACCAGACACCACTGTGTAGATGAAAAACTTGTCTTTATTCTCCTTTGGTCCGAAGCCCATACATTTCACTGTCATCTCAACCGCGAATGGAGGTCTGTGACGTCATTTTTGTTGCGTGTGCTCGCGCACACCGGCGGCTGCTGGCTCGTGGAAAGAACGTGCGCCACTTATTATGGACACTAAATTCCTTGGTTCAGTATCCCTTTAAGAGACGCCGAGCGTGCAAACAAAGAAAAATAGAACACATTCAGCACACATTTGATTATTGTGAGACAAATATGCATGCGCACTTTTTTCTTCGTCTAAAATATGTTGAGGAAATATTTTCGCATCTTACAAACTTCGTGCGATCTGCACAGCATGCACACTAACGCCTCGATCCCACTTTGAACGGTCCGCAAAAATCGATTTGTCAGCGTATACCACGCTGGGATTTACTACAGAGCTACGGCTAGGTGGTGCACGCTTGAAGTTAAGATATCAACGGATAAACTTACCTCGTTCGAAAAAGAAAAAGAAAAACCTGTTTCGAGCAATCTACGGGCACCATTTCCCCGGGCGACGCAGAGGGTGCTCGTTGACTTGGAGACGCTGCCGAGAGATGGCGTATGCATCGAAGGCGCGCGGGGCGCGGCGATTCGGGTTTCGATAGCAGACGATCTAGCGAAAGTTTTTCCATGTATACGCCATCTGTCGGCAGCGTCTCCAAGTCAACGAACACCGTCTGCCGTAGTTTGCCTGAAACAGGTTTTTCTTTTTTTGAACGAAAGAAGTTTATCCGTTAATATTTTAACTTTATGCGTGCGGAACGTCAAAAGTGGAATTGAAGCGTCAGTGTGCACGCTGTAATTTGTGTTTCGAACACCTGTACCAGATTTTACATACGCCCGTTTTTTATGTAAAAGTTTTTCTAGGCTGGTGAACCTAGCACTCGCAGCTGTGTGGTGATCTGCACAAATTGTACGTAGGCTTTGTCATGGAAAGATTGAGTGTTTCAATCCATTTATGTTCAGTTTCAGAAATTAGCATTCATGATATATACTCGACCACTTGCGCATCACCAAAAAAAACGGTGTCGGGCTTTGAGCTCCGGTTATTGACTGTACTCGATACATGACAGAGTTGGTACAATATTATTTCAGCCGCACCACTTTTGTGCCCCACGGCCGTCCCGGCTAACACCTGCCGACCCGTGTGTTCAACTACTTGTACTACACTCTACGAAATGCCTGCACGTCTATTTACCCGCAAAACACTCAAACAGCCAATCTCTGTGATCTAGGAAATCAGCTCAGCGAATGATGAGGCAGAACATCTGTTTAGACCTAAAAATGAAGTCTGCGCTGTGGAATTTACGCAATGCAAAGCGTCATGCCACAGCGCAGACTCCATTTTTATGTATAAACAGATGTTCCGATTCGTCATTCGCTGAGCTGATTTTTTTAATCGCGGAGATTGGCTCTTCGAGTGTTTTGCGGGTAAGTAGAGGAACAGGCATTCTTTAGAGTGTACGGTGTGGTTGTATATTAGGAGTCGCAATTCATTCCCTCCTTGTTTGACTCCGGCCTTTCATTGACCTATCATTCTTGTTAAGGCTTCGGGCGGAATACTCTGCACTTCGGTGACAGCCCATGGCCACCAAACCTGATGACCCACTTGGTCTCGAATGAGGCCTACATTCAAACTTCGTTCCCTGATTCAAAGTGTGTAAGCAGGACGTACGGAAACAATTGAAAAAAAAAAAAAAAACACGATGAGTACTCATAGGTATTCAACGATGTCTTTGTTTCAGAAGTAATATTATTTATATTGTAGTATATATAATGTAATATCTTTTTTCTGCGGGACATCTATTTCATCTTTGAACGGTAACTGAATAAAAAATTAGATTGTTTGTATAGAACATAACAATCTTTTGGCCTAGGAGCATGTTGCAAAAGCTTCACTGCGGCTCAGATGAACCGCAGTGAAGGAGTACGAAACTAATAAGTAAACCCAGGACATGTATTCAAAGCATTTAAGTAATATTGTTTTGTAAATGTAATTCAGCACTTCCGCTGAGTATTGTGCTCCACATACACCATTTAAAATATATTTTGTGTATTTTAGTTTGACAAAAAAATATATGTATGGTATTTTTGCAGACTTGCTTCACTCTATACAAAACTATGGGATGTTTTAGGAATTATAACTTTTTAGTTTCCTGAACCATATCAAGATTGTTTTCACAATAAAAAATGTATGCGCTGACATTATTCTTGTGGAATAAAAAATATGCGAGATGTCGGAAGGTATTGCTAGAGACGAATAAACTTTAAAGGCATACATAATACAAAAACAAGTGCGTTAAAATGCAATTAAAATGTAATTTTTTGTTCTAGATTTTTTTTAAATAAACGTTTTGTGTCTGGCGTATTCGATGAGTGTTTGCTTTTTCCCGCGTTACAGAAAAAAAAATTAAAATAACAAGATAAACAAAAGGGTGTTGTTGATCTTCAAATCCCAACGTTCAGTGTTCAATTTTTTATTCTTGACTATAAAACGTTATTCCACGTTTTACTTTTGTTTGATCGAACCTTCAAACACGATCGCAATTTACATTCAATGTAACCCGTAACCTGCCGAACTGCTACGTAAAAAAGAAACAAGAAAAGATAACTTGTCACATTCCTCACATTCTAGGTGGGTTGCACCATTTACTTTGACATCGGCCGTCATCATAAATAAATGATTAAATTTGATGTATTGACAAAAGACGCCGAACCTTTTGGACTTGCACACGCAGCGAAAATACAACTGGAAAATCAGAAAAAACAACTTATCTCCATGTCGTTTATTGTGTTTCGCTCCACAAGAAACGAACTTGCCCCTGCGGCATCAGCATTCACAAAATCACGAAAATAGAGAGTGTAATTTTAGTTTTGTAGAACTGATACCATAAGCTTGGTTTTTACGCCTGTGTGGTTGAGGCCGAAAAATTGGCAAAAAACTATACGTTTGCTCGGAGTCTCAGAAAAACATAGCCTCAAAGAACAATTGCTGTTTTAATGTTTAGGCATAAGGAAGAAAGTTTGCATGAAATTTTGTTGACGAGTGTTTCTGTTGGAGACAAACCATTTGACCAATGCAATTAGTCTAGACATTTGGGGCATTTACCGCGTATCGCGTAGTAGTGTTCGCCACATGCCAGGGGAACGTCCGTCCGTACGAACAACAAGGAAACAAATATTGAACTCATTAAGTCAAAGTATTCAGCGCCGCCTTCGCTTCCCACATCCTACTGAGCAGAACAAACTCATAAAATATA